GCAAATAGAGATACTTTGACTTCTTCCCTACCAATTTGGATGCCCTTTCTTTTTCTAGCCTAATTGCTCTAGCTAGGACCTCCAGCACAATGCTGATTAAGAGTGATCGCAATCAAACTTTTTTCTAACCAAAAGTAATTCATCATCCTTGATCCCTGGAATTCAAGATTATACTCTTTGAAACTGAATGCATGCTGACAGGTTCAAAAAACAGTGTTTCTTACCCACAGAGACAAGGTGGCAATAGTTTTCCAACATCACATCCATGTACAGAGTCTTCTGAGCAGGATCCAGGTGCTGCCACTCCTCCTGGGTGAAGTTTACCGTCACATCTTTGAATGACACTGATCCCTGCAATGGATTGGAACTGTGATTGGAACTAGTTGAATAGATACTTGGGACTAGTTCCTACCCTGTTCCTTTGTAGCATTCATATGAAAATGTAAAGCAAGCCTATCATTTCATTGTTTTGTGATTTACAGTGTGGGGAAAAGATAAAAAAATCAAGGTAGAAATACCTAACATTGAATTTATTTAATAATTCATTCTAAAAATATTTACTGTGAAGTCACTTTGTGCCCAATAACTGTTTTAGTTTCCTGGAGTGCCAGAACACCATCCATGCTCATAAGAAGTTATGGTTTCCGAGGCACGTTAACACATACCTGCAAGAAGGTGTTACAGGTCCAGTGATAGAAGTATTAAGTTACTAAGTATCACAAGGCAAGAATAATTTCTTAGGCTTCACTTAGGAGGTAAATGTTTTTTCCCTTCAACACGGATGTGTTATGCAGGAAGAATATGGTTTCAAAAATGCATGAAGGTTCTTAAAAAAGTTAAACATAGAATTACTATGTGACCCAGCAATTCCACTCTTAGATATATAGCCAAAGGACTTGAAAGCAGAAATGCAAACAGATACTTGTACACCAATGTTTACTGCAGCACTATTCACAACAGGTGAAACAACCTAAATGTCCACCAACATATACAGTATATACACACAATGGAATATGTCTTAGTCATCTAGTGCTGCTATAACAGAAATACCACAAGTGGATGGTTTTAACGAAGAGAAGTTTATTTCCTCACGTCAAAGTAGGCTAAAAGTCCAAATTCAAGGTGTCAGTTCCAGGGGAAGGCTTTCTCTCTCTTGGCCTTCTCATCAGTGTTCCCCCAGAGTAGGAGCTTCTTGGCACAGGGACCCTGGTCCAAAGGACGTGCTCTACTCCCGGCACTGCTTTCTTGATGGTATGAGGTCCCCCTGTCTCACTGCTCACTCCTCTCTTTTATATCTCAAGAGATTGCCTCAGGACACAATCCAGTCTTGTAGATCCAGTCCTGCCTTACTAACACAACTGCCACCCATCCTCCCCATTAACATCACAGAGGCAGGATTTACAACATATAGGAAAATCACCCAGTACCAGGAATCATGGCCCAGACAAACTGATACACACATTTTTTGGGGGACATAATTCAAACCATGACAGAATATTACTTAGCTATAAGGAGAAATGAAGTTGTGACACATGCTATGACATAGATGAAACTTAAAAACATTATGCTGAGTGAAATACCACCACCACCACGATTTTGCTGTTGAGCTGATTCTGACTCATGGAGACCCGATATGTGTCAGAAGAGAACTGTGCTCCACAGGGTTTTCAATGGCTGATTTTTTGGGAGTAGGTTGCAAGGCCTTTCATCCAAGGTGTCTCTGGGTGGACTCAAAACTTCAACCTTTTGGTTAGCAGCCAAGTGCATTAACTATTTGCATCACCCAGGGACACCTGAGTGAAATAAATCAGACACAGAAGGACAAACATTTTATGATCCCACTTACATGAAATATCTAGAATAGGCAAATGTACATAGATCAAAGTTTACTAGGGGTTACCAGGAGAAGGGAGGGGGAAAGAGGGAGCTATTGCTTAAGGGGGCACTGAGCTTCTGTTAAGGGTGATGAAATATTTGAAAAGAGAGTAGCAATGGTTGCACAACATGATGAATGTAATTAATGACACTGAATTACACACATAAAAAATGTTGAAATGGCCAATGCTTTGGTACATATTTTTTACTGCAATAAAAAAAATGCGCAGGGGAATGTGATAAACGGTATTTATGAAAAACTCACAGCAAACTCCATGTTGACAGACTGAAGGTTTTTCTCCTAAGATCAAGAACAAGACAAGCCTGTCAGCTTTCACTATTATCCAGTATTGTACTGGAAGTTCTAGCCAAAGGAATTAGGCAAGAAAAAGAAATAAAAGGCAACTGAATTAGACAGGAAGAAGTAAAACTATCTCTATTCACAGATGACATGATCCAACATATAGAAATCCCAAAGAATACACCAGAAAGATGCTACAGTTAATAAGTGTAGTCAGCAAAACTGCAGGGTACAAGATCAACACACAGAAAGCTATCGTGTTTCTATACACCAGTAATAAACAATCTGAAAAGGAAATTAACAAAACAATTCTATTTCCAATAGTACCTAAAGAATAAAATACCCAGGAATAAATTTAACCAAGTAGATGAAAGACTTACACATTTAATTACAAAACACTGCTGAAAGAAATTAAAAGAGGCCTAGATAAATAGAAACACATCCTCTGTTCATGGATCAGAAGACTTAAATATCATTAAGATGTCAAAACTACCCAAAGTGATCTACAGATTCAATGTAATCTTTCTCAGAATCCCATCAGCCTTTTTTGCAGAAATGGAAAAGGTGAATCTCAAATTCATACAGAATTGCAAGGGACTCCAAATGGCCAAAACAATCTTGAAAAAGAACAAACTTGGAGGACTAACACTTCCTGATTTCAAAACTTACTACAGAGCTGCAGTAATCAAAACAATGTGGTACTCACATCCAGACAGATATGTAAGTCAACAGAATAGAGCTGAGAGCCCAAAAATAAACCCATAAATCTATGGATAATTGAGTTTCAACAAATGTGTCAAGTCTATTCAATGGGGGAAAGAATAGTCTCTTCAACAAATGGTGCTGGGACACCTGGATAGCCACATGCAGAAGAATGAAGGTGGGTCCTTACCTCTCACCATATACAAAAATTAATACAAAATGGATCAATGACCTAAATACAAATGCAAAAACCACACAACTCTTAGAAGAAAACACAGGGGTAAATCTTTGAGAGTTTGTATTTGGCATTAGATTCTCAGATATGACACCAAAACCACAAGCAACAAAAGAAAAAAAAAAGATAAACTGTACTTCATCAAAATTAAAAACCTTTGTGCATCAAAGGACATTATCAAGAGCGTGAAAAGATAACCTATAGAATGGTAGAAAATATTTGGAAATCATGTATCTGATAAGACTTTAATATCCAGAATATAAAGAATTCTTATAACTCAACAATAAAAAGACTAACAACTCAATGAAGAATTGGGCAAAGGACTTGAACAGACATTGCTCCAAAGAAGATATACAAATGGCCAATAAGCACATGGAAAAATGTTTAATATCATTAGTCATTTGGGAAATGCAAATCAAAACCACAATGAGATACCACTTCATACCAACTGTCTATTGTCAAAAAATTGGAAAATAACAAATGTTAGCAAGGATGTGGACAAACTGGAACCCTCGTGCACTGCTAGTGAAAATGAAAACTGGTGCAGCTGCGTGGAAACGAGTTTGGAGGTTCCTTGAAAGTTAAGCATAGAACTACCATATAACCCAGCAATTCCAGCCTTGGTTATATATCCCCGAAAGATATGAAAGCAAGAACTCACCCAGATACTCGTATATCAATGTTCATTGTAGCATTATTCACAATAGCCAAGAGGTGGAACCACCTCAAGTGTCCATCAACAGATAAATGGATAAACAAAACATTGTATACACATACAATGGAATATTATTCAGCCATAAAAAGAAAAATTTGATACATGCTACAACACGGATGAGCCTTGAAAACGTTCTGCTAAATGAAATAAACAAGACATAATAGGATAAATATTATATGATTTCATTTATGAACTATCTAGAGTAGGAAAATTCATAAAGACAGAAAGCAGATTAGAGGGGCTGGGCAAAAGAGAGAAGGGGGAGTTATTCTTAATGGATAAAGAGTTTCTGTTTGGAGTGATGGAAAAATTTTGTATATAGACGGTGGTGATGGATGCACAGCATTAAGAATCTAATGTCACTGAATTATACACTTTAAAATGGTTAAATTTTATGATATATATATCAGCCTCAGTTTGTCGTACTGTGGGGACTTGTGTTGCTGTGACGTTGGGAACTATGCTACCGTTACTGAAACACCAGCAGGGTCACACATGGCGGAGAGGTTTCAGCTGAGCTTCCAGACTAAGACAAACTAGGAGGAAGGACCCAGTGGTCTACTTCTGAAAAGAATTAGCCAGTGAAAACTTGATGAACAGCAGCGGAACACTGTCTGATATAGTGCCAGAAGATGAGCCCCTCAGGTTGGAAGGCATTCAAAAAACGACTGGGGAACAGCTGCCTCCTCAAAGCAGAGGTGACCTTAATGACATGGATGGAGTCAGGCTTTCAAGATCTTCATTTGCTGATGTGGCATCACTCAAAATGAGAATAAACAGCTGTAAACATCCAGTAATAATCAGAACATGGAATGTATGAAGGATGAATCTAGGAAAATTGGAAATCATCAAAAATGAAATGGAATGCATAAACATCAATACCCCAGGCATTAGCGAGCTGAAATGGACTGGTACTGGCCATTCTGAATCAGGCAGTCATATGATCTACTATGCCAGGAATGACAACTTGAAGAGGAATGGGGTTGCATTCATTATCAAAAAGAACATTTCAAGATCTATCCTGAAGTACAATGCTGTCAGTAATAGAGTAATATCCACAGGCCTATGAGGAAGACCAGTTAATATGACTATTATTCAAATTTATGCACCAACCACTAAGGCCAAAGATGAAGAAATTGAAGATTTTTACCAACTTCTGCTGTCTGAAATTGGTTGAACATGCAATCAGGATGCATTGATAATTACTGGTGATTGGAACGTGAAAGTTGGAAACAAAAAAGGATCAGCAGTTGGAAAATATGGCCTTGGTGACAGAAACGATGCAGGAGATTGCATGATTGAATTCTGCAAGACCAACAACTTCGTCATTGCAAATACCTTTTTTCAACAACATAAACGGTGACTAGAAACATGGACCTCACCAGATGGAATACACAGGAATCAAACTGACCACATCTGTGGAAAGAGAAAATATTAAACGATGCAGGAAGCATCAAAAGAAGATGGAAGGAATACACAGGGTCACTACACCAAAAAGGATTGGTCGACATTCAACCATGTCAGGAGGTAGCATATGATCAGCAACGGACAGTGATGAAGGAACAGGTACAAGCTGCACTGAAGGCACTGGTGAAAAACGAGGCTCCAGGAATTGAGAGAATAACCAATTGAGATGTTTCAACAAATGGA